GGTGAAATTCAATGGAGACACAGGAAACCTCGACTAGCTAAAGCAATTTTGTACAACAAAAACAAAGGGGGAGGCATCACAATACCAGATTTCAGGACATACTACAGGGCAGTTGTAATCAAAACAGCATGGTACTGGTACAGAAAGGGGTGTATAGACCAGTGGAACAGAATAGAATCACCAGAAATCAATCCAAACATCTACAGCCAACTTATATTTGATCAAGGATCTAAAACCATTTCCTGGAGCAAGGACAGTCCATTCAACAAATGGTGCTTGGAAAACTGGATTTCCACATGCAGAAGCATGAAGCAAGAGTCCTACCTTTCACTTAACACAAAAATCCACTCAACATGGATTAAAAATCTAAGTCTACGACCAGACACTGTCAAATTATTAGAGAACATTGGAGAAACCATGCAAGATATAGGTACTGGCAAAGACTTCTTGGAAAATACCCCATGAGCACAGCCAGGCAAAGCCAAAATTAACAATTGGGATTACATCAAATTGAGAAATTTCTGTACTGCAAAAGAAACAGTCAAAAGTGACGAGGCAACCAACAGAATGGGAAAAACTATTTGCAAACTATGCAACAGATAAAGGATTAAAAACCAGAACCAGAATCTACAAAGAGATCAAGAAATTCTACAACAACAAAACAAACAACCCACTTAAGAGATGGGCCAAGGAACTCAATAGATATTTTTCAAAAGAAGAAATCCAAATGGCCAACAGACACATGGAAAAATGTTCAAGAGTTCAAGATCACAAGCAATCAGGAAAATGCAAATCAAAACCCCAATGAGGTTTCACCTCACCCCGGTTAGAATGGCTCACACTCAGAAATCTACCAACAACAGATGCTGGCAAGGATGTGGGGGAAAAGGGACACTAACCCACTGTTGGTGGGAATGCAAACTGGTGAAGCCACTATGGAAGTCAGTCTGGAGATTCCTCAGAAACCTGAATATAGCCGTACCATACAACCCAGCCATCCCACTCCTTGGAATTTACCCAAAGGAAATTAAATTGGCAATTTAAAGGGCTGTCTTCCCCTTAATGTTTATTGCGGCTCAATTCACAATAGCTAAGACCTGGAACCAATCCAAATGCCCATCAACAGTAGATTGGATAAAGAAATTATGGGACATGTACTCTATAGAATACTATACAGCAGTAAAAAAACAAACAATGAAATCCGGTCATTTGCAACAAAATGGAGGAATCTGGAAAACATTATGCTGAGTGAAATAAGCCCGTCCCAAAGGGACAAATATCATATGTTTTCCCTGATTGTTGACAACTAACCAAGCACCAAAAAGGAAACCTGTTCAAGTGAAATGGACACTATGGGAAACAATGACTTGATCAGCCATTGTCCTGAATGTCGAGGAACAACTTAATACTTTATTTCTGTTAGTATTTTTGTTCTACTTAATACTATTGAAAAGTGATCCCTGTTAAATAGAAGAGTGGGAATAAGAGAGGGAGGAGATGTACTGTTTATCACATGCTCAATCGGACTTGCCCCAAACGGTTGAGGTAGATACATGCCTAGGGAATCCAATTCCTTCCCATCAAGGTGGCATGTACCAATGCCATTTCACTAGTCAAAGTGATCAGTTTTAGTTCATAATTGATCATAATGATAGGTCTAAGAGTCAAAGGGATCACATAAACAAGACTAGTGTCTGCTAATACTAACTGATAGAATTAAAAAGGAGAGAATGATCCAACATGGGAAGCGGGATACACAGCAGACTCATAAAATGGCAGATGTCCTAAATCACACTCTGGAATCAGAATCAGCCTTTAAAGCATTTTGAATTGGCTAAAAAGCCCATGAGAGTATTTCAGGCATGGAAAGCCAAAACACTGTGGCAAAAAAAAAAAGACCTAAATGAAGTATCTCTGTGAGTGAGATCCCAGTGGAAAGAATGGGCCATCAAAGAAGGAGGTACCTTTCTCAAGGGAAGAGAGAACTTCCACTTTGACAATGATTTTGTCTAAATAAGATCAGAGTTGGCGAAATCAAAATAGCCTTTGCAACTCATGACAAGAGCCTTGGGTGATTACTGATGCATAAACAAGAGTGAAGAGTGTCAATTTATAAATCAACAACAGGAGTCACTGTGCACTTTCTCCCCACGTAGGATCTCTGTCCTTAATGGGTTGTACTATGTTAATCAATGGTATAACTAGTAATCAAACAGTACTTTACACTTTTTGTTTCTGTGTGAGTGCAAACTGTTGAAATCTTTACTTAATATATACTAAATTGATCTTTTGTATATAAAGATAATTGAAAATGAATCTTGATGTGAATGGGATGGGAAAGGGAGTGGGAGTTGGGAGGGTTGCGGGTGGGAGGGAAGTTATGGGGAGGGGAAAGCCACTGTAACCCAAAGGCTGTTCTTTGGAAATTTATATTTATTAAATAAAAGTTTAAAAAAGCTATGTATGAATTTCAATTTTTTCACCAAATAAACATTTTTAAGAAAGCTTTTCAATTTTTTAAATTTCAAAGATATAGCTTTTGGAATATGGTGTCTCTTCCATCCATATTTGCCCTCCCACCCTCATACAGTCCCACCTCCTACTCTGTCTCCCATCCCATTCCTCATTAGGAATCATTTTTAATTATTTTTATATGCAGAAGATCAGCTCTATCCTAAGTTAAGATTTCAACAATTTGCACCCACACAAACACATAAAATATAAAGTACTGTTGTTTGATGTTCAGTTTTACATTAATTCTCAGAGTACAACACTTAAGGACAGAAGTCCTCCAATAGGAGTAAGTGCACAGTGACTCCTGTTGTTGATTTAACAATTGACAGTCCTACTTATGACATCAGTGATCACCCAAGGCTCTTGTCATGAGCTTCCAATACTATGGAAGCCTCTTGATTCCACACACTCTGTCAGCATTTAGACAGTGCCATAAGCAAAGTGGAAGTTTTCTCTTCACTCTAGAGAAAAGTGCAACCTTCTTTGATGGCCCCTTATTTCCCATGGGATCTCACTGAAGAGATCCTTCATGTAGATCATCTTTTAATTACATTTAATTGAAAAACTTTTTAGAGTACTCTTGTTTTTTTGTTGTTGTTGTTTTTTTTTTTGTTGTTTTTGTTTTTGTTTTTTTTGACAGGCAGAGTGGAGAGTGAGAGAGAGAGAGAGAGAGAGAAAGGTTTTCCTTTGCCATTGGTTTACCCTCCAATGGCCGCCGCAGCCGGCGCGCTGCGGCTGGCTCACAGCACTGATTCGAAGCCAGGAGCCAGGTGCTTCTCCTGGTCTCCCATGCGGGTGCAGGGCCCAAGGACCTGGGCCATCCTCCACTGTACTCCTGGGCCACAGCAGAGAGCTGGCCTGGAAGAGGGGCAACCGGGACAGAATCCGGCACCCCGACCGGGACTAGAACCCGGTGTGCCGGCACCGCAAGGCGGAGGATTAGCCTATTGAGCCGCGGCGCCGGCCCTAGAGTACTCTTGTAAAATTAAATATCATTCAGCATTAAGAAAGAGATCCTGGCATGTGTAAAGTATACTTGGACTTGAAAGACGTAATGATGGGGCCAGTGCTATGGCTTAGCAGGTACAGCCACCACCTATAGTGCCAGTATACTTTATGGACCCCAGTTCATGTCCCGGGTACTCCACTTCCGATCCAGCTCTCTGCTATGGCCTGAGAAGGCAGTAAAAGATGGCCCAAGACCTTGGGCCCCTGTACCTGCATGGGAGACCCAGAAGAAACTCCTGACTCCTGGCTTCGTATTGGTGCAGCTCTATACTACATATTTAGATAATTATTTTGAGAATTTTGATTATATAAGTTAAATGAGATTAATATATAGGAAGATATAGAGTTCATGCAATATTTTATTCTTACAGTTTTAATATTGGATATAGTTATAATATTTAAGATTCCTGAGGAGAGAATATAAAAGCTAAGAGAAATAATTGATGATTCCCCATACCACGTAGGTCAGTATAGGATTGATGGAAGAGAATATATGTTGTTCTCTACAGAGGAAGAGGTTATGCTAATAAAACTGAGAGGGAGAAGTAATGGAGACATCCTAAATTAGATACAAATTTTTATATTTTGTTATAATAATCAGACAGTTCCTCTCTGATGGATTCTAGTTATTATTACTTTGATTTTCTAAGTGAGAACACAGTACTTTATTGAGAACAAGGAAGAGTAGAAATTAAAGTTATAGTAAGTGGGCTCTTTTAAAGTTTTATAGACAAAATTAAGGGAATGTAGATAGCTCGAAAAGTATGGGAAATAGTGTTGACATCCAAGTTGTGAAAGATACAACAAGTATATAAGGTACCAGTGTGATCATCTGTATGATTTTATAGCATGTTAAGCTGTTAGTGTGAGCAGCGGATAGAATCATCCATATTTGGGTCTTGATAAGAAGATGTCACAGAAGGACAAGGACAGGGCTTTCATTTACTAGTAAGGAAATATTTGAAGTTATTAACCATTATTATTTAAGTAGGAAAGGATGGGAATTGCAGTCATGAGAGACTGACAGACCAGGAAAAAAATGAAAGTCTAATGAGATGTAAGCACTGGATGAGTAGAAAAGTGAACTATGCAGGTCAGGACATTAAACCTCCTGTTTCACTTTAATATTCAACTGTGGAAGTCTGCTGCTATCCTGAAAAGGAGTGTGTGCCAGTTAGAGTTAGATCTCATAATAAAACACACAAAAATACACAAATGGCTTAAAGGTAAAGTTTTATTATCCAAAGAAAAGATGTTTTGTGTTAAACAAGAGTAGATACAATAACTTGTCAAAATCATACTAACTTTATGTAATCATGTTTTATTTCATGCTCAATAATATGCTTCAAGTAAATATCCATCATGTCATATCGAGCCAGCAGAAAAAGTAAACAGCATAGAAAGACATACCATTTCCCTTTAAAGGCAAATCTTGGAAATCACATTGCACAATTCAACATATATTAAACTGGCCAACATCTAGTCACATGCAACCGAGGAGTTAGGAAATCTAATTTTTAAACCAGGCTGTCTCAGGTCAAGAGATCTATTAATAAGGGAGAAAAAAAGTGAATATAATGCAAAATCAGAATCTGTGCCCCTCAGCTTCATTTTGACAATTAACAAATAAGGAAAAACAAAAATGCAATTTTTGGATTGTTAGGTAGAATTGCAATCAACATTAGGACTCTCATTTTGTGATCAGGGTACACTTCTGAATTACAACATCACTCTGTTCTCCTTCAGTGGACAATGGTCAAGGTGCCTGAGTCAGAGTTCCAAAGCCTGAAAAGAGGTCTTAAGGCACCTTGGAACAAAATCTGGGTAAAGGTGAAAATATGGGACCCATCTGTCATGTTATAGAATGACACAACTCCATCTTCATAATCTAGGAATATCCCCACCCTGTGGGGGGACTCTCTCAGAGTAAGAAGAGTTTCTGGGGAAGTGAGAGCCCAGTACTCCCCCTCATAAAGCCTGATGGCCCAGAAACCATTTTGTGGGGATATTGTTACTCTCCCCTTCCTTGTTACATTGTCCCTACAGATTCCCAGATCACAGGAAGCTGTATCCCCAATATCTACCTCCCAGTAGTATCTCCCCGAGGTGATACTCAGCTGACCCAGCACACAGGGCAGGGAATGAAATCTCTGTGGGGAGTCAGGGAGATCTTCCTTCTCTTCTTGCCATGTTACACGTCTCTGTTCAGACAGGAAGAGCGCAGGATGGGCAGTTTCTGCATCCAGGGTCACGTTTACTGCAAAGACAAGAGAATCATCATCATCTAACTAGGGAAAGTCTCAGTAGTCCGGGGCTAGAGAAGCTATTCTGTGAGAGCTTCTCTGGCCCAAGGTGAATTCTGCTAACCTCTACCCATCTTTGTGTGAGACTACCCACAAAGATGTGGATCCCTGTACACCATCATAGACTCACCAGCCTGGAACTCTTCTTTCCTCCAATCTGCAAGAAATATATCAAAATGAGAACCACCATCTGAGAAAGAAAGCTACCTGACCATTTAGAGTATGAATTCCCCAGGTTTAGTTTAAAATAATAGCAACTGAACAAAATTCTATTTATATCCTTGCCCTTCATTTTATAGCCTGCCAAATTATGTCAGATTTAAGGACCTGACCTATGCCAATTATTTCCTCATTTAAATATTATTCAGATAATAGTCTTTGGTCTATTTATGGTGAATTTGACTTGAAAATTTTTGTTTTGTTTTCTTTCTTCACAAATTAGTATCTAGTTACTATTCTGTCTTCTCTCAAATATAAGGTGATACTCAAATTTAAAAATATTAAAATTTAATGTTTCAGTCACATTATGTGTTAACAACATGGGAAGTGAGATACACAGCAGACACATAGAATGGCGGATGTCCTAAATAGCACTCTGGCCTCAGAATCAGCCCTAAAGGCACTCGGATCCAGCTGAAAAGCCCATGAGAGTATTTCAGGCATGGAAAGCCAAGACACTCTGGGGAAAAAAAAAAAAACTAAATGAAAGATCTTCACGAGTGAGATCCCAGTGGAAAGAATGTGTCATCAAAGAAGGAGGTACCTTTCTCTGAAGGGAGGAGAGAACTTCCACTTTGACCATGGCCTTGTCTAAATATGATCAGAGTCGCTGAACTCAAAAGGCTTCCTTAGCCTTGGCAGCTCATGACAAGAGCCTAGGGTGATTACTGATTCCATAAACAAGAGTGTCAATTTGTTAAGTCAACAACAGGAGTCACTGTGCACTTACTCCTCATGTAGGATCTTTGTCCTTAGTGTGCTGTACATTGAGATTTAATGCTATAACTAGTACTCAAGCAGTATTTTTCACTTTATGTTTCTGTGTGGGAGCAAACTGTTGAAATCTTTACTTAATGTATGCTAAACTGATCTTCTGTGTATAAAGAGAAACGAAAATGAATCTTGATGTGAATGGAAGGGATGAGGGAGTGGGAAAGGGGAGGGTTGTGGGTGGGAGGGATGTTATGGGGGGGAAGCCATTGTAATCCATAAGCTGTACTTCGGAAATTTATATTCATTAAATAAAAGTTAAAAAAATTTTAAGTTTATTTAAAAGGTAAAATTATGGGGTTGAGGAGAGAAACACACACATACACACACATATACAGAGAGAGAGAGAGCGAAAGAGAGAGCTTTTCTATCTACTACAGTGACTGAGGATGGGCTAGGCTGAAACCAGGAGCCCAGTACTCGATGCACGTCTCCCATGAGGGAGGTGGGGAAACAAAACTTGGGCCAAAACCTGAACCTTCCCAGTTGTATCACTAGGAAGCTGGATTGGATCAGAGGAACTTGAAATCATATCAGCACTCCAGTGTGAGATGCAGCTGTCCCAAGCCATAGCTAAAGTTCTGTGCCAAAATACACACCCCAATGTGTAGTATGTTATGAGAGATATGATTTGGATTTCTTTTCCTTTGTAATGTTTTGTATATTGAAGATGTTCATTTATAGTATCTTCAATAATGGGTTATTTTTTCAACTTTTATTTAATAAATATAAATTTCCAAAATGCAATTTTTGGATTATAATGGCTTTTCCCCGTATAACCTCCCTCCCACCCATAACCATCCCATCTCCCACTCCCTCTCCCATCCCATTCTTCATCACAATTCATTTTCAATTATCTTTATCTACAGAAGATCAACTCTATACTAAGTAAAGATTTCAACACACTGTACCCACAAAACAACACAAAGTATAGAGTACTGTTTGAGTAGTAGTTTTACCGTTAATTCACAAAGTACTTCACATTATGGACAGAGATCCTACATGGGAATTAAGTGCACAGTGACACCTGTTGTTCATTTAACAATTGACACTCTTAATTATGATGTCAGTAATCAACCTGTAGCTCTTGTCATGAGCTGCCAAGGCTATGGAAGTCTCTTGAGTTCACAAACTCTGATCTTATTTAGACAAGCTATAGTCAAAGTGGAAGTTCTCTCCTCCCTTCAGAAAAAGGTACCTCCTTCTTTGATGGCCTATTCTTTCCACTCAGATTGCACTCACAGAGGTCTTTCATTTAGGTCATTTTTTTGCCGGTGTCTTGGCCTTCCATATCTGAAATACTCTCATGGGCTTTTTAGCCAGATCCGCATGCCTTAAGGGCTGATTCTGAGGCCAGAGTGCTGTTGAGGGCATTTGCAATTCTATGAGTCTGCTGTGTATCCCGTTTCCCATGTAGGATCACTCTCTCCTGTTAATTCTATCAATTATTATTTGCAGACACTGGTCTTATTTATGTAATCCCTTTGACACTATCTTTTTGAACAATTATGAACTTAAACTAATCACTTTAACAAGTAAAATAGCACTGATGCATGCCACCTTGATGGGATTGAATTGGAATCCCCTGGCACGTTTCTAGCTCTACCATTAGGGGTAAGTCTGATTGAGCATGTGCCGAACTGCACCTCTCCTCCCTCTCTTATTCCCATTCTTATATTTAACAGGGATAACTTTTCAGTTAAATTTAAACACATAAGAATAATTGTGTGTTAATTAAAGAGTTCAACAAATGGTTAAGTAGAACAAAAAATATTAAAAGAAATAAAATAGTAAGTTGCAATGGGTTATTTTTAGAAACCAAGTCACTCACCAGGGTATAACACTGTTTTCCTCCAGTCTGCAAGAGAAGAAAACAGGAAACCCTTTACTTTTTTCCTTCTAAGTCTTCTCTCATTCCCCTTCTCATTTACCCTTTTTTTCTCTTATTTTCTCCTGTACATCTTTTGTACTTTAATTTTCTGACCTATAATCCGACATTTAAAATTTCAAAGACACGATGAGAAAAATGATCAAGTGGAAGAAGTGTAGAAACATAAAAGTAATAAAAGGAAGAAGCCTGAAGGTGGGAGCATGAAATGCAGGAAAGAAAAAAGAGTGAAGAGTGCAAGGAAGGGCGTAAAGAAAGCTGAGTCACAATGACTTTGTGTCTTCTGGATACATACAAAGTAGTGTGCTTGCTGGCTCCTACGGTGTCTCTAAAGCCATGCACTCTAGTCTTGCTGGTAAAATCACTGCCATGTGGTTGGAGAGTAATAATTCAGAACTTCTTCATAGCTTGAGTCTCCAGAGTCTGTCTGCTGTAAAACTGGTGGAGCTGTAGCTGTACCACAAGCCCTTCAACTAAAGCAGCTGCCCGGAAAACAGTGAGCAGTGCCACTGGTGTTCTAATTGCTTAGAAATGATCAGGGACAATGCAGAGAAACTCATACATCACCAGAGAAAAATATATAAGCATAAAAATTTAAATATTAAGAAGTAAACATTGCAAAATATGAAATTAATTTTAAAAAAGAGAAGAAATTTTGAACTCTATGTACCAAGCAATTGCCAGGTCTAGCAAGCATAATGCTAGTCCTAGATTACTTATTGATTTAAAAGCAACAATAACAAAAACAAAAACAAAAATAGTAAAATATAAAGACAAATTAATGTTTTATAGACCCTGGAAAAAAGATTTTTCAGCAAAATAAAAAATGTACAGCACTCCTTTCTTTAAAGTTATAATTCTTTACTGTATAATAGCACAGAATGTCAGCTCTATTTTAAGGAACAGAAGTTATGACTGAGAAAGGAAACATAATTTGGATTATAAAATTCTTACTTTAATAAAATTCCTTAAACAGTGGAAAAAATTTGTCAAGATTGTGCCCCAAATTCTTCTTTGCCAAATAGGCATTTTTGTTGCATTTCTGTATCATAACCAATTACTATAGAGGTTAATATAGGGATTGAATCCAAAAGAGTCAGAGAAATGGAATTATTTTGAGAGAGAATGATTACTCACTGAACTTAAATTGAGCCTATTCTGAGAGAAGCAATGTCAGCATGCATCGTATAATTGCTATAGTACTTAGATATGGACTGATCCCATGGGAGATAAAGAAATGGAGGTTTCCAAGAGATAATAATTACTTACCAGACTTATATTGAGCCTTCCTCCTATCTGAGAGAAAAAATACAAAACATCACTTCATGAGATAAGTTTTGTTAATATTATGAAGAATACACAATCTAAACCATATATCTGCCAGTGTTTGTGCCTGCAACACTGGACACATCTTATTCATTTCATTAGCAAAAAAAGAAAACTCTAAAGTATATTCCAAATGAATACCTCACTCCAATTGGAAGAAAACTGCCTGATATATGAATGGTTAAATAAAAGATGCTTCAGAAATCTTGTATGAAATGAAATGAAAACTTGTTTTATTTTTGGTGCAAAAAATTTTGAAATCTATGTACAATTTTTCATAATTCACACTTTCAACACATTTTTTTGAGATTCCTTGAAATTCCTATAATGTGATATTAAAATTTGTAGAACTATCTTAAAAAACAAAGTCTTAGATTTTAAAGATATATTACCAATGGAATTTACATGAATAACAATGCATACCTAGGTCATGAAAGAAGAACAATTTATAACTGAGTAAACTAAAAGGAAGAAAAAGCAGTAGAGTAGTAACTATGGTTGAAAAGAGAAAATTGTCGGAAAAATCATGGAAAAATATTTAACATTTTTGACTATTTAAAAATATTGTCAAATGATATGGATCAGCAAGTCTCAAGACTACGCTTAATATTAGTTTATACAAACATTTAAAAGGCAAATAAAAGGAGGAATTTATTTCTCTCATACCCATAGTCTGATATCCATAGGTAAGAGTGAAGACATCATCATGTGAAAAAATAATGAACTCTCTACTAGAGAAGATGTGTTGTG